GGGACTGACTGACTTCGCTCAGCGTGGTGTTTTCAGGGTTTACCCATGCTGTAGCGTGTGGCAGAACTTCATTTCTCTTTACAGCTGAGTAGTAGTCCGTCGTAGGTATGCACCTTTTTTTTTTTTTTTAACCTTAAGATAAGTTTTGCTCTAATAACCTATGTGGAGAACAATATTATTCCAACTTTTTCTTTTTCTCCCTTCCCGTCAGGCATGTCTACTTCTGTCAGTGAGAAAAAAACAACTGCCAAGTAATATCCACGTCCCAGACTTATCACTGAGAAGTCTTTTTGAGGTAAGGTGACCTTCTTACATAAAGTTTCCAGTCAGGCCACCTCAGCCTTTTATGTGGGGCCTTCCTCTTCAGCTGCCTCACCACAAATTTACTATTTGTATCTTCGGCGTGGGCCATAGCTAATTCAGGTTTTACTGATGCCAAACTTTACGGCTGAAGGGGTATGAAGTTTCATACTGATGTAGTGACTTCCATGATTCTTCCTGCATTTTCTTTTTATTTCCAGAAATATGTCTCTGTCGGACATTATGAGAATATGGAGCAGGTGCCCCAGTTAGTCCAGTGGTTCATATCCAGTGGTGCAAGCATTGAGAGCATCGGACCATACCCTCTTCATGCCCTCATGCAACTCTGTATCCAAGCAAGTGAGTATTCTTCCAGTTCCACGCCCTCCAAGCTGCCCTGCCAGCATGGGGCGCTCTGCTGAGTTTAGGGGAAACCAGAAATTTTTTTTATTGTGCTTTGGGTGAAAGTTTACAGCTCAAGTTAATGTCTCATACAAAAATGCATACACATGTTGTTTTGTGACATTAGTTGCAATCCCCACAATGTGACAGCACACTCCCCCTTTCCACCTTGGGTTCCCTGTAGCCATTCAACCAGCTCCTGTTCCTTCCTGCCTTCTCATCCTGACAGGAGCCGCCCATTTGGTCTCGTGTATCTGATTGAACTAAAAAGCACACTCCTCCCGTGTATTATTCTTTGTCCTGTAGTCCTGTCTAATCTTTTTCTGAAGAGTGGGCTTCAGGAATGGTTTCAGTTCTGGGTTGACAGAGCATTTGAGGGCCATAGTTTCAGGGGTTCCTCCGGTCTCGGTCAGACCATTAAGTCTGGTCTTTTTACATGAATTTGAGTTCTGCTCCACACTTTTCTCCCCCTCCAGGGAAACCAGAATTTAGCGACTTGAATAATTTGAAGACAGGAAGCTGGGAAATGTCATCATTTTATTTCTCTCGGGACTAGTAGCTAAAGCAAAGTTGAAGGGATTTCGTGTTCCCAGACAGACTTGTGATGGACCCAGGAGGAGACTTGTGATGGACAGTTGTTGGCAGGCAGAGCTCCCAGGAGAGCTGTGGGGTTTCCTCCCTCTAGCCCTCTTCCCTGTTCACTCCCTCTCCAGCCCAGATTGCCGAGTGCTGAGTTCTGGGACCATGGCCGGGGGACCCCAGGGGAAGCATGGGCTATTGATGATATGTTTTGGTTGTGGTTCTTTAAAGGGATGACATTCTTCACGTAACTTTCTATTTAAAACGTCACCAGCTGGCTACAAGAATTAAATTTTTAAATATTTTTATTTTACCATTAAATCTCCCCCCCAACCCCCATACTTTGGATAGAAGCTTGTTTTTCTTTTCCAAGCATATATGGCTTCGCTCTTGGACACTTGTGCTGTTGTTAGGTGCTGCTGAGTCAGGTCTGACTCATAGCGATCCTATAGCGACCCTAGAGGACAGAGGAGAACTGCCCCATAGGGCTTCCAAGGAGTGGCTGGTGGATTTGAACTGCCAGTCTTTTGGTTAGCAGCTGAGCTCTTAACTGCTACGCCACCAGGGCTCTGACTTGAACGTTTAATTACAGCATTTTAGAGCTGGAAGGGGCAGAGAGGTCTTGTTTGATCCACTCTTCTC